GTTTTCTGGAGGTCGGTGCAGGTATCTTTAGCACAGTCTCTTTGCGGGCCTTAGTCAACCACTGCTGCCCCTCCTTGAGGATGTACCCTAGGTCAGTCACTTCTTGCAGACATATCTGAGCTTTTTTTGCTGAGGCCCGGTATCCCAAGTCCCCAAGTATGTGGAGTAAGTCCTCTGTCCCCTCCAGCAGGACTCCTGGCCTAGTGCCATGATCAATAAGTCATCTACATATTGTAACAGGCTTATGTTGGGGTGTTGGGCTCTGTACTCACCCAGATCTTCATGCGGGGCCTCATCGAATATAGTTGGAGAATTCTTAAACCCTTGAGGCAGTCGTGTCCAGGTCAGCTGGCCACTGATTCCTGCCTCTGGATCATGCCATTCGAAGGCAAAGTAGGGCTGACTGCTGGGGGCTAGTAGCAGGCTGAAGAAGGCGTCCTTGAGATCCAGAACTGTATACCATTGCCGATCTAGTGGCAGGGTACTGAGTAGCGTATAAGGGTTGGGGACAGTGGGATGAATGTCAATGACTCTCTTGTTCACATCCCTCAAATCTTGTACCGGTCTATAGTCCCCAAATTGGGGCTTTTTGACAGGCAGGAGTGGGGTGTTCCAGGCAGACTGGGTCATTCTCAGCACCCCCAGTTCCATTAATCTTCTGATATGTGGAGTAATTCCACGTTTTGCCTCTAGGGGTATAGGATACTGGCGCACTTTAACAGGGTCTGCCCCTGCTTTGAGTTCAACATATACGGGAGGCCCTGTGTCCTGCCAGACCCATACCCCTGTTTCTGCCCAGGCTTGGGGAAATTTTTGGAGCCAATCTGATATATCAGGGTTTGGTTGGATCGGCTCCTGATGGAGTCTATATTCCTCAGTCAGGTCGTTGGTGACTAGAACCTGAACCGGTGCCCTGTTGTGAAGCAGGGTGGCTCCTTTAGCTGTGAAGTGGATCTGTGCCCTCATTTTTGACAATAAATCTCTGCCCAGAAGTGGGTAGGGACATTCTGGGATTACTAGAAATGAGTGGGATACCTGGCCCTTCCCTAAATCTACTGTTCTTCAGGTAGTCCATGAATAAGGCTTTGCTCCTGTTGCCCCCTGTACCCATGTAGTTCTGGAGGACACTGGCCCTCTTGGCTCCAATAAAACCGAATTCTGGGCACTAGTATCCACCATAAACTCAATTGGTTTCCCCTCTATTTTCAGGGTTACCCTGGGCTCAGGGAGGGGACCTGAGCCCCGTATCCCCTAGTCACTGTCTTCACCCGCAATTAGAGCTGGTAATACCTTAGCTGATTGCTTATTCTTCTTGGGGCAGTCCTTCACCCAGTGCCCTTCCTCCTTGCAGTATGCACACTGGTTTTTTCCTACCTTATTTTGTGGTCTGGATCCCACCGATGAGCTCCCTCTGTACTGGGGGTTGGTTGTCAATAATATCTCTCTGAGGTCCTTCATGTGGTGGGCCTATTGTCTCTCCAGGACCCTGGTCAGGCTTCCTGTCTTTTTTCTTTTCTTTCCTCTCTTTGTTCTGCTGTCTCCCTTCTATTATAAACCTTTTCTGCCACTGCTATTAAGTCCCTAAGGTTCTTTTCTCCTAGTCTATCTAAAGACTGTAACTTTCTCTTGATGTCAGGGGCTGCCTGGTTAACAAAAGCAAACATCACAGTTTGAGCTGATTCCTCCACTTCTGGGTCATATGGAGTGAACCGCTGGAAGGCATCTTGCAACCTCTCTAAGTATGAGGCTGGGCCCTCTTTGGGCCCCTGTCTGACATCATAGACCTTAGACATATTGGCGGGTTTTCAAGCCACCATTTTGAGACCCACTTACAGAGTCTGGCGGTAGACCAGGAGCCTCTCCTTACCTTCTTCCATGTTGTAGTCCCATTTGGGATGGCTAGGGGGAAAGCTGGCATTAATGATGCCTGGGTCTGTGGTAGGGTCCCTGGTGGAGCCTGGAACCAATTTCCAGGCTGCCTCCAGGATCCTATTTCACTCCTCAGTCGTGAACAGTACACTCAGGAGCTGGTGGCAATCGTCCCAGGTGGGCTGGTGAGTGAAGAGAACAGTTTCCAATAAGTTAATCAAGTCCCTGGGGTTTTCAGAGAAAGGCACATTCTGTGAGCACCAATTGTAAAGATCACTGGTGGCAAAGGGCCAGTAATGAAAGGGCTGATTGCCCTCTCCATCTGGGGGCCCCGCCCACTGGAGGGGAAGGCCAATGGTGTCAGGCTGGGGGGCTGCCCCCCTCCAGCTCTGTGTGGCCTGCGCAGGTCCCTGTGGAGGCGATGGTGGCTCCTCAGGGTTAGGAGGCAGGGCCTGTACGTGACGCTGTTGTTGGGGTGCCCATCTGAGAGGAGTAGGGTGGGGGAAAGATGTCGTTCTCCTCTGTGCATCCCTGGAGAATGGGCTTCTCTTCCACCTTTGGTCTGAGGGGGAGGACCTGCAGAGGTGGAGGGGGAGCAGTTGGATTAATTGGGGCAAGGAAGGACTTGACCCAGGTAGGGGGACCATCGGGTCATTTGATGAGGCCTCGCCAGGTCACAATGTACGGGATCTGGTCCTGGTTTCCAGTCAGTGGGTGGAAGATGTGGTCCTCTACTCTGGAAATCAAACTCAGGTTAAAAGCCCCTTCAGGGGGCCATCCAACATTGAAGGAGGGCCAATCAACCGAACATAAAGTTGTCCATTTCTTTTTCTTTACATCTACACTATTGTTATGGGCAATCGTCTTAACATCCCCCCAGTGGACTAGTGTAAGATCTAGAGGGGAAGATGGGGTGTTGCCCATAGTATTTATCAGTCCCGTCCGTTTCGTCAACAAAGAAATTAGAACAAACATCACAAGACACAAGAATGACATAGACAAACAGAGGGCCCAGAATAAACTACTGTGGCTTTCAGATGGTCTGGACTCTCGGCCGTGTGAGTTCCCCAGCTCGATTATGCCAAAGACCATACAGATAGGATGCGCGTGTCCCAACAGGGTCATGAGGTCCTCTGAGGTTTCAGATGGACTAGTGTCCTGGTGGGGTGTCCGATGAGGAACACCCACCCTGACGAGGATGGGGACGTCTCTCGAATCCTCCAGGTAGCTTTGCTAGCATTTTAGCAACAAAGAAAAACTGAGATCAGATGGCCGCGACCAAAGTGAAAGCATAGAGAAGACAGGCACACACACACAGTTTTACAAAAACTTAAACCTTTTGGGGTCAGTTCCTCTCGGGGGTCTCTGGGCGGATCCTGGGAGAGCTCCCAAATGTTGTACCTCATCCACTGGACCCCAAAAAGACCACCGAGGACCCAACACACCAAAATGCAAAAGCAAAGGTTTATGGTTTATTCGGGCTTAAGCTCGGGCTCTCAGACCTCACCAACTCAACGGATCCGTGCTGAGAGCCCATAGTAAGGGAGAGTGGAGCCTTTTATAGGTTTTAGACAAAGAGAGGAGGGGGATACCGAAGATACATTTTGGTTGGCTCAAGGAGCCCGCGCGCGCCAATGCAGCCCTGGAAGTTTCTTATTGGTAGGTGCTATTCTCAGGGCTGTGGAATGTGCTGACTGTTATCTGTGGGACCAGGAGTCTCCGTTTTTACCTTATAGGGCAGTTTTCATTCCTGGGCTTGCTTAATCTATAGTTTCCTGGAAGGGGGGGGGGATAGCAGACAGGGGTCAGGGCATGCCAGGGCATGTCTAGGCATGTCTAAAGCAGCAGCCAAGAATTTTACAGAACCTAAAAGAGCAATTAGTGGGGGTCTGGAGGGATTGGGGGGTAGCAAGTGAATGAAGAGGGTCTCAGGGTCCTACATGGATAGTTCTTCTCTATTAAAATGTGTAAATTCTTTGACTTTTATTTCACTTTCTATAATACTTGCCATAAAAATACACACACATCATCTCACAAATACATATCATCTCATAAATGCAATATAACTGATGTGTAAAATTAGGGAAATTTTCAATAAAAAACTTTATGTATGGATACAATTTCTGCTTAGAGGGTATGATCAACTTATCAGTTGATATGCACATATGGCTACAGTATCACTATGTAGTGTTATATAAAGAAATGAATAATATGCCGGGCGTGGTGTCGCACACCTTTAATCCCAGCACTTGGGAGGCAGAGGCAGGTGGACCTCTGTGAGTTTAAGGCCAGCCTGGTCTACATAGTGAGTTCCAGGACATCTGGAAAGAAGAAGAAGAAGAAATGAGTAGCAATAAAAGAGTGCTTTTACTTCGAAGAAATGTGTAAATTCTGAATTTTTCAAGTTTTTTCATAATGAAAACAAAGCATTTGCGAGATGGCTCAGTGGACAAAGTGCTTTCTTGCCTTGTGTATTAGTCACTTTTCTGTTGCTGTGATAGAAACACTGACCCAAGCAATTTATAGAAGGAAGAGTTTATTTGAGCTTACAGTTTCAGGGGAATTACATCCGTCATGGCAGGGAGGCATGGTGGCTGGAGGTGGCTGGAGCAGCAGCAGCAGAAGCTAAGCTTTTACATCATCACGCAGACACAGGAAGCAAGAGACCTACCAGAGATCTGGCAAGGCTTAAGAACTCTCTAAGCCCACCCCCAGTGACGTGCTTCCTCCAGGATAGCCACACCTTCTAAAACCTCCCAAAACAGCGCCATTATCTGGGGACAAAATGTCCAAACACTTGGAGCCTATGCAGGACATTTTCATTCAAACCACCACACCTTGCAAGCATGAGGACCCTGAATTCAATCTCCAGGCACCTGCCTATAACCCCAGGTGGAATGCTGACTCGGGAGGAGGACATCTCAACATCAGCCTCTGGCCTCCACATGCACCAAATGGGCAAGTGCTCTCACACACATGCATGTGCACGCACACACATGCAACATATACAATTTCAAAAAGGCACAAGTGACTGATAGTTTTATTGGCAAACACAGAGGCTGTGTGGGAGGTGCTCTCACACACATGCATGTGCACGCACACACATGCAACATATACAATTTCAAAAAGGCACAAGTGACTGATAGTTTTATTGGCAAACACAGAGGCTGTGTGGGAGGTGACTTCAGATGACAGATGTAGTTGCTTACAGGTACAAGATTCAATTGCTGCATCTAAATCTTAATGCAGACTGTCTACATGTAGAGCTTTAGTCGCAGGCCTGGAGCAGCTGTGAAATGGAAGGTGCCACTCCATTGTAGTCCTTGGATGTCAGTGTATTCGCCTTCACCTTCCACCCTTCAACAGTGAGAAACGGGTGACTCATTAATCAATATTAATAATCTACAGTCCAGATAAGAGATTATCTAGTCTAGTATATTATACACTATATTTAAAGCATTTTCTTTCCACTTTCAATTTTGATGAAAACAGAGCATTCTGCTGTGATATGTCTATTTATTTATTTATTTATTTATTTATTTATTTATTTTTTATGTGTATGAGTGTTTTGATTGCATGAGTGTTTTGATTACAGAGACCAGAAGAGGGTATTAGATACCCTGGAACTGGAGATACATATCAATATACTTTTTTAAAAAATCAGGCTTTTTTTTTTTTTTTTTTTTTTTTTTTTTTTTTTTTATTTTGCTCTTTTTGAGACAAGGTCACCCTGTAGCCACACTTGGCCTGGATTTGCTAATGGAGACCAGGCTGGCCTAGAACTCACAGAGATCCACCTGCCTCTACTGGGATTAAAGGTGTGCACCACCACGCAAGTCAGAATTATTCTTGGCTTAAATTTGCTTAATAATTGCAACAAGTTTTCCACCTCCAAGATAACTGAAAATCATTCTAGAGTAACAGAAAGTAAAGAGGGTAAATGAAAGATCTAATGGGTCATTTCCAAAAATGAGATTCCCTTTTGGCAGATTATGGCAGGATAGCTTCACCTCTTACATTCTCCAGTCGCTAAAATAACTCAGCCATTTGTAGAGACTAAATGCATTACAAAGAATATTTAACATTAACTAAATGTGATATTTAAGCAAGCCTGACTGAAAAGAATCCTTTAAGACTGTATTATTTTTAAATTTTAAGATTACCTATTTTCATTGAAATTTCCAGTGTACTTTGCCCCAGTTGGGAATGTGTAAGTCCCCAATCCATGAAACTTATTATCCTTAAACTGTCCTTCGTACACTGCTCCCGAAAAATGCTCAAGTCTTCCAAAGCCATTCATCTGTAACAAAGGAAACAAGCTTAGAAAAAAACCTTCACAGTTTCCCCAGAACCTCTGAGAATATATAATTCAAGTCAATCAGTAGCTCATTTATTATCGCCATCAACTTTGTACTCTGTTTCCATGAAAACAGAATTCATATCACTGTCCCTCCTCTGTGTCTTGAAGCCCACTAAGTCAAATGTTCTGAATCTGAGGCACTCGAACATATGGAAAACCGAGATGATGATAATTAGGGTCCTCAAGATAGCCTGAATGTAGAAGAAACCTTGAGCAGCCAGTGTAGTTGTTCAGGAAACTCTACACAGTGGTTGCTAAGAATGTGAATTTGGCTAAGGAGATGGCTCATTTTGTAAAGTGCCTGCCTCACAAGAATGAGGATCTGAGTTCAGATCTCAGCACCAGTTAAATATTGGGTGTAGAGCTGGCAAAATGGTTCAAGCTTGCTGTCAAGCCTGTCAACATGAGTTTGTTCCAAGGACCCATACGGTAGAAGAGATGCAACTCCAGCAAGTTGTCCTCTGACCACCACACGTATGCTGTGGCACGTGCACATCCACCGTTAATAAACAAATGTGATAAATTTTTAAGTGTAAATGTGTGTTTGAGTAGATTTGGGTACACATTCTTGCTTTGTCACTTACCATCTGGACAAGAAACCTGAAGCTGATTTACCTCTTCTATAAAATGGGAGTATGAATGGTACCTAGCTCATGAGGTTATCAAAAAGATTAAATGAAAAAGCTATTAATGGATATAGCGTTTGAATGGGAGCTGAGATGATTAGCATTCTTCATGAACTTAAGATTATGAGTAGAGAAACAAATGTCTAATTATTTGTTTTTATCCATATGGCTTTGGGGGAGGGTTATTGTTGATTTTATTGTTTTTATTGTTGTTGTTTGAAACAAGGTGTCCTTGAAGCTCCAGCTGCCTGGAACTTGTTAAGTAGACCAGGTTGGCCCAGATCTGCCTTCCTCCTGAGTGCTGGAATTAAAGGTGTGCACCACCATGCCCAGCCCTTTTTGCATTTTGTTTCATGTGTTTTTGAGATTGGTCTTGCTAAGTAAGATAGCCTAGAACTTGAGACCTTCCTCCTCCACCTTCTAAATACTGTGATTACATCTGTGAGTCACTGTTTTTATTATATGTGTTTTATTGTTATTATTAATGAAGTACTTAGAATCATTTAACCCAGGGGGTTCTTTAACCACCATCAATATTAAAAACAATAATAGCACCTTGTCATCTTTCCAGCTTCCTGTGTAGACAGTCCCATCAGGAGTGGTGTGAATACCTGTTCCATTTCTCTCATAGACTCCAGATGACGTTCTTGTGCAGTCACCATCTAAATAAGGAAAAAAACCTAGAGATTTTAACTGGGAACACTGACTAAACAATATAGTGTTTATGTCTCAGTCTATTCACAACTGTACCCCTAGATGTAGGTTTTGGTTTATGTTCTTTCTTTTCTAGTTTCTTAGGACTGAAACCAATGAGACTAAAAATGAGGAGATTCATGGACTAAGAACATCTACAACCACTGAGACTTACGGGCCAGAAAGAGTGGCAGAGTCCATAGGTTTCTAAGGCATATTCTCAAGACATAACACTAAAATTTTGATTTTAAACTTGCTTCTTCCATTAGGATTTCTATGTAATTTTATTTAAGTGAGATAATATACCAATAATGGTTTATAAAATGTGATGGTCTCATATTTTAAAATCTAAACTATTTAACTTCCTGTATAAAAAATTAAAATGCATGCTTACCATACTTGTCTCCGTTGGGAAATATAAACCTTATCTTATATACTTCTGAAGATGCTTTAAAAGATTGAAGAAAATCAATGTCAGTGTAAATGTTTTAATGTCATACGACCTATAATAATAAATGTGCTTTCAGCACTATCCAAATGCACTCTCTTCACAGTCACAAGCATATCATGATTACTTGGCACGTCCATTGTCTGGGATAGAGTCCTGAGGAAATAAATAATTTTGCCTAGATGATCTATTTTTATTTACTTGTCTAACAACTTTATTAGTATCTAATTTACATAAAGTTTACCTTTGAAAATTATAACTCACAAAAAACAAGCAAACAAACAAACAAACAAAAAACAAGCTGGGTGTGGTGGCCCACACCTTTGAACCCAGCACGCAGGAGGCAGAGGCAGGTGGATTTCTGTGAATTCAAGGTCCGCCTGGTCTCCATAGCGAATCTAGACCAGCTGTAGCTACAGGGAGACCCTATCTCAAAAACAGACAAAAAAAATTAAGTAAATAAATAAAATTCTAACTCAAGGGCTAGTAAGACGACTCAGTAGGTAGACACTTGCTGCCAAGCCTGATGACATGAATTTGATCCCTGAGCCCCATATGGTGGATTTAGCGAACTGTCCTCTGACTTCCACATGCATGCCATGGCATGTGTTCCCAACTTCCCACAAATAAATAAATAAATGTAATTTTAAAATTGTTAAACATTTGTAACTAAACAATTTTACTTTATTTACAGTTATGCAATTGTCATAACTCTAATTTCAGAATACTTTAATCACCCAAAAGAAACCTTGTACCCATCAGTAGTGACTTACTATTCTGTTCAAGACTCTACATCCCTGTGCCTGTGATAACCATGAATCTACTTTCTGTCTTAATGGATTTGCTCATCTGGGACATTTCTTGTAAATGAAATCATACGCTATGTGGTCCTTTATGCCCAGCTTCTGTCACTTAACAGATTTTCAGGGTTCACCAGAGTTGTATAACGCATCAGTGCTTCAATCCTCTTTATTACCAAATATATTATACAGAGAGAGCACCTTTCGTTTATCTATTCATCTGGTGATAGACATTTAGCTTGCTTCCAGTTTGGAGCCTTTATTAATGAGGATGTGTAGGACATGTTTCACTCTTGTGTAACATGTATGATCTACTGACTGTCCCACAGAGGGCATTAAGTGTAGAAGGCAGAGGAGTCTAAGCAGAAGGATATGTGATAAAAGCCGGGTGGCCAGGAAGCAAGAAGACCACAGGGCTGAAGGAGGTCTTTGTCTCAGAGTGCTGGGCCACTTAGAGAACTAAACCATGAGAAATTAACTTCTTCCCAAGACTGAGGAAATATGTAGAAGGTAAGTAACTGCTAGGACAGTAAGATCTACTAGAATGTTACTCAAATTGTGGCCGAGGCATCAAAACCACCTGACATGTTTCTAAGTTCCCAGCCTGTATCTCAAATCTACTCAATCAAAATCTCTTGGGGGCTGGGCAAGGAAACTGGTAGTTCTAACTTTAAAATTAAATGCCACCTGAGAAAGGCTGGAGGGTTATCTCTTTTTTAAAAAAATTAGTTTGGGGTCTTTTTAAGATAGGGTCTCCCTGTTGCCCCAGCTGGCCTGGATCTCACTATGTAGACCAGGCTGGTCTCAAACTCACAGAGATCCACCTGCCTCTGCCTTTGCCTCCAAAGTGCTGAGATTAAAGGCGTGTGCCACCATGCCCAGAATAAATAGCTGCAGGTTTGACTTCTGCACCCCAGACCATTATGTGTATGAGTGCTTACCTGCACCCAAGTGTACAATGCCAGGTGCTGGTGGGGAGGGGGGTTCTCCTGGAACTGGAGTTAAGGAGGTTGTTAGCTGCCATGTGGATACTGGGAACTGAACCGAGGTTCTCTGCAAGGGCAGCCAGAGCTCTTAACTGCTGAGCCTCTCTGGCCCCAAGGAAGAGTCTCTCTGAAGAAACAGTTACTAACACAACAGATTGGAGACTTTAAAATGATGTCAACATCTTCACAGAGACAGGGAAGATATGGCATCCTTGAAATAGGAATAGACAGTTCTGAGCCAATGAGTAATCCATAAAATTCATAATGGTGAAATGAAATAAAAAGGTTGGATGGTGGAGTTTAACTGAAGCAAATTAGTAAGCTAGAGGATAAAGCTGAAAATGGTTTCAGAAAGTCTCACAAAGAAAAATTTTAGGATAATGGAAAATGGATTCTAATTGTTAATGCCAGTTTAATAAGAATTCCAAACCAGCTGGGCATGGTGATACACACCTTTAGTTCCAGCAGTCCCAGATGCAGAAGCAGGAGGATGTCTGTGAATTTGAGGCCAGCCTGGTCTACATAGGGAGTTCCATGCCAGCTGGAACTGTCTCAAAAAGAGCCCCTCCCAAAAAAGAATTCCAAACCAGACGTGGGGGCACATATCTTTAATCCCAGAGGCAAGCAGATTCCTGTGAGTTCAAGGCCAATCTGGTCTATATAATGAGTTCTAGGCCAGATGGGGATAGAAAGAGAGATCCTTTTTGAGAGACCCTGTCTCAAAAAGATCCCCCCGCCAAATTCCAGAGAGATGGAATAAGGGAATAAGGGAAGAAAAACAATATTTGAATAAATAGCCAAAATTTTCTCAAAATCAAAGAAAGTGTTTACAATTCAAAATACTAAGGAAAATCCCAAACCAGGACAGTTACAGCTAAATTTCACAACATAGAGTTGTAAATGCCAGTTAAGTTAGCTTTAAGGGGGAGTATGGCAAAGAAAAATCAAATTACCTACCCCCCCAAAGAAGAATGAGAATTATTCTGGCATCAGCAACAGTCAATATTAAAAAACAAAACAGGTTAGTATGATGGCTCAGTGGGTAAAGGTACCTGCTGCCAAGCCTGATGACCTGAGTTCAATCCCCCGGACTGATATGGTGGGAAGAGACTCAACTACCAAATGTGTACCATGTCTCACACACACATATACATACACACACACACCCCACAAAACAAAAATAAGCCACATTTTTTATTTTGAGAATGTAGGATTAAATGTTAAATAGCATTATTTTAAATTGTTAGAAATGCCATCTTTATCATCATCATCATCATTATTTTGTCTTTTTGAGACAGGGTCTCCCTGTAGCCCCAGCTGTCCTGGAACTCACTATGTAGACCAGGCTGGCCTTGAACTCACAGAGATCCGCCTGCCTCTGCCTCCCAAGTGCTGGGATTAAAGGCATGTGCCACCATGCCCAGTTTAAATAAATCTTTTTTTTTTTTTTTGTCTTTTTGAGACAGGGTCTCCTTGTAGCCTCAGCTGTCCTGGAACTCACTATGTAGAACAGGCTGGCCTCGAACTCACAAAGATCCACCTGCCTCTGCCTCCCAAGTACTGGGATTAAAGGCGTGCGCTACCACACCTGGTCATCTTTATTATTTTTTGAGTGGGAGTCTCATGTATCCCAGTATGGCATTGTAACCTTGAACTCATTATGTAGTACACTAGTTATGCTAGTATTGTTATGTGGTAACAATAAATAAACCACACTTTGTGAAAGTAATGTTAAGTCCTATTATTTTATTTGTTTTGTCTTTTTATTAATTTTTTGAAAACGTCATACAATGTAATTAGGTCATATTCACCCCGCAACCCTCTCAGATCTACTTCCTCTTCCCTAGTCACCCAACTTTGCATCCTCATTTTTTTCAAGCCCACCTGAGTCCAATTTGTCTTGCCCATATACTCTTGGGTGTGTGGCCATCTACTGGATTATTAAATAATTAACTTACAAATTATAAAAATTACTATGTTTGAGTGTGTTTGTGTGTGTGTGTGTGCACGCATATGTGCCATAGTGCACATGTGGAGGTCAGAGGACAAGTGTGGAAATTGATTCTTTCCTTCTACCATATGGATTCTGGGAATGAAGTTGGGTTGTCAAGCTTGGTAGCAAGCACATTTACCTGCTGCACTATTATTTTTATATTATTATTTGAGACAGGGTCTTTAGTATCTCACACTGGCCTTGAACTCATTCTATATCTGAGTATGACCTTGAATTTCTGATCTTTCCTCCACATGCTGAGTGCTGGCACTACAGGGACTGCTATCTTGCCAGTGTATATATTGCTGGGAGTAGAACCCCTGGCTTCCTGCATGCTACCAACTGAATTACATTCCCAGCCCAGGAATTTATAAAGAATAGTGTGGTGGCCTGCCTGCTGTACATAGTGAGTTCCAGGCCAGCCAGGGCTATATAGTGAACCACTTCCTTAAAAAAAAAAAAACCCAGTAACTTTGAAAAGAATCTATGGGGACTGGAGAGATAGCTCAGTGATTAAAAGCACTTGCTACTCTTCCAGAGGACCCAAGTTCAGTTTCCAGCACTCATAAGACAGCTCACAATTACCTCTAGTTCCAGGTCCATGGGATCTTACTTCCTCTTCTGGCCTCCATGGGCACCTGCACATGTGTGGCATATAGTCACACAGACACACAGACACACATACATACACACATACATACATTAAAAAAACATATTTGCCAGGTGTGGTGGTGCACACCTTTAATCCCAGCACTCAGGAGGCAGAGGCAGGCAGATCTCTGTGAATTCAAGGCCAGCCTGGTCTACATAGTGAGTTCCAGGTCAGCTGGGGCTACAGGGAGACCCTGACTCAAAAAGACCAAAATAATAAAATAATAATAATAATAATAATAATAATAGTAATAATTAGCCTGGCATGGTGGCACACACCTTTAATCCCAGCATTTGGGAGGCAGAGACAAGCAGATCTCTGTGAGATCAAGGCCAGCTTAGTCTACATAGTGAGTTCCAGGCCAGCTGGGGCTACAAGGAGACCCTGTCTCAAAAACACAAAAAACAAACAAAAAACCCAAAAATAGAGTCTACAACTAAAATTCTGATATCAATATGAGAAAGAGAAAGCTGTTGTTGGAATTCTGACATTTGGAGTTAAATATTGATACCAATTATGCTGTTTTAGAGAAATACAAACTTAAATTTAGGTTTATAGATTTTAGGGGTTTTCCTATAATTTCTAAGGTTTGTTGGTGGATAGAAGGTGAAGTCTGGAAGTATAAGGAGATTGATGTCTTTGGGGATGAAGAGATGGCTCAGCGGTTAAGAGCACTGGCTGTTCTTGCAGAAGACTTGGGTTCAAATCACAGCACCCACATGGCAGCTAACAACCATCCGTAACTCCAGTTCCAGGGGATCCAATGTCCTCTTCTGTCCTCCACAGGCACTGCACGACATGGGTGCTCTTACATACATGTAGGCAATATACTCATACATATAAAATAAAACTAAATAAATCAAAAGATTTATTTATGATTGGTATTCAAAATTTGAAGTTCAGAACGGACAGGGACACAAAGCCTGTTTTGTAAATGTTTAATGATGCTAGTGAGATTACCAAATCTGCTTGCAGTGCTCCCAGGAGCCATGCCATCCATGGAACACAAATTTTCTTGGCTGAGAGACTACAATTCATTCTGGAGGAACTAGAAAAGAGACTATCGTAGCTCATGCTCTGGTATTAAGCCACCTAGGTTTGAATTCAGACTCTATCCTTTTCCTTAGTCTTGGGCAAATTACTTATGCCTCAATTTCCTCATCCTTTTCATAAAATAATATTTTATTATTTTTATTTTATGTATATGAGAATATTGCCTGCATGCAAGAACACCTGTGTTGGACAATGCCTGAGGAGATTAGAAGAGGGCATGAGATCCCCTGAAACTGGAGTTACAGACAGTTGTTAGCTGCCATATGGGTGCTGGGAACTGAACCAAGGTCCTCTGCAAGAGCAGTCAGTGCTCTTAACCACTGAGCCATCTCTCCAGCCCCTCCTCTTCCTTAAATAAATGAGTAAATCTATATAAACCACACAGGCAAGTGTCTAACTCTGTAGGTACTAGCTATTATCCTGTAACCCCATGTCAGGTATGGTTTCTCTCCCAAAGTCATTCTTATTTCTCCTCACCCCCAGACTCCCCTAGGCCCAGGACTCAGGGCTCTATTAAAACAATGCTTCTGTGTCCAGTATCCTACCATACTCACCTCAGCCAAATCAGGGATCATGGATTAGTGAAATCTCTTTTCTCACCCTACCATCCAACTCAGGGTTGAGTTCTAACAGGAACTGCCTAAGTAGCACAACACTTGAGAAGCAATCGTCATGTGCCCACTAAGCAGGACACTAAATATAGCCAGTCAGACAAGAAACTGAACTGTTTTCGGTTGCCCTTAGAAGTTTCCACATTCAATGAATCCAATGGTTGTAGAGTTTTGCTTTAGAAGACTTTTTAAAATTTCATTCCTATATATCTATAGTGTATCTATACATATATAGGTATCTATCATCTATCTATCCATCCATCATCTATCTATCTATCTATCTATCTATCTATCTATCTATCTATCTATCTATCTATGGTTTTCAGCTAATCTCCATGAAGACAGTGAATACTTAGAACTGTGCCACTAATGAAAGGCAATCCTGTCTAAGAGAATCCATTTCTTTACAGAGCTGCATCATACAGCCTTTGGACCCTCTGCTTGAAAAGTAGAATCGAGTCTCAAATAATGTCTTTAGAATTGTATCATTTAGTATTATAGATGTAGAATAGTACTATATCATACCTCTGTGAATGTAAAATATCTTGTACCTGTTTTATGATACATAGTAGTGGCAGTGCTTTATCAGATATTTTTAAATTTTTATTTACTTTAATTTTGTGTATGGATGTTTTATATGTATGAAAGTGTATCACATGTGTACTTGATGCCATTGGAGGCTAGCAGGCATGAGATTCTCCAACAACTGGAGTTGGAATTGGGTGTTAATTGTATGTGGAAGCTGCAAACCAAATCTGGGTCTTCTGGAAGAGCAGTAAGTGCTCTTTACTGCTGAGCCATCTCTCCAGCCTCTCAGAGATGTTTTTAATGTTACTTAGAATCTTTTCTTTCCATATGATGATTGCAAAGTTAAAGGGGAAAAAAGGTGCCTGGTATGACAACACTAATAGAACTGTGCTGTTTTCTGGGGGTTTGTGTTTTAACTTAATTTGCTTTAATCTTTATTTTATGTGTATGAGTGTTTTACCTGCATGTTTGTAAGTGTACCATGTGCATGCAATGCCTATGGAGGCCAGAAGAGGGCATCGCATCCCCTAGGACTGGAATTACTGACAGTTGTTAGCTGCCCTGTGGGTGCTGGTGACCAAACCCTGGGCCTCTGAAAGAGCAGCCAGTGCTCTTAACCACTAACATCTCTCCAGTCCCTTTACTTTTTAAAATGGAAGTCCAAAAGCCGTTGTTGCTATTGATGCACAACATACTGCTATTATTGGCTTTTATATAAATTTATAAATATATTTATATAAAAGACAGATCTAATTTGAATATTTGGAAATTAGGTGTCCTATCAACTTTGGAAAAGGTATCTCAGTTTACCACGTTGTTGAGTTGGCACTGTACAGAAACTAACAGCAATATAGGTCTAGAAACATAATTTTTTTTCTATTTGTACCGAGATAAGCACTGCATTAAATATGTAAGATCTTATCTACATGTGATCACAGAAACCAATAAAGTACTCTCTACATAAAGTAAAAAAAGACGTTTCCACATTCGAAACTCTGGAATTTTGGAGCTAGAGGAACCTCAGGGATTGGCATAAAGGAAACAAGCCGAGAGTGGCATAGAGAAGTAGCCAAGGACTAGGGGGCGACCCCAGACCTCCTGGTCCCCAGACCCCCGGCTCTGGGCGGCCTGCCCACCCGTGTGTGGACGCTGCGAAGCCACCGCCGGTCCCGGGACTGAGCCCACGTCCACCCCTTGGGGGTCGCAGAGAAAGCGCACTCACTGGATGGAGAAGTGAAGGACAGACTGTAGCGACTCTGCGATGCCCCCTGGCTCGCCAGCTTTGTGGCCTTGAGGGAACCCAGGATGAGACAGAACGCGGCTCGGTTGCTAGGGCGACCGGGCCACCTCTTACCCGGAAGCGAACATGCGACGGGCCAATCAGAAGGCGCCTAGGCGGGGCGGTGGCAGCCGGGGTGAGGTCCGAGAGGGAGGCCGAGCCCTGCGGGGATCCAGACCCGGGTGCCACCTCCCGAAGGCCGCGAGGAGCGACGCCGAAGCCAGGTACGGCACGACGTGATGGAGTGCCGGGCCGCGGAGCGGGTACCAGGCCTGGCTGCCGCCCCCTACTCCGGAGGGGCCACGTCCGAGGACCCTCCTGCCGGATGTTTTCTGCCCACCCCCACCCCCGGCCCGGGGTCGGTGGATCAGGACCAGGGCATCCCAGGGACCCTAGGACCTGCAGCCTAGGTCGTCCACGTCTGGGCTCCGTGCAGGGTTGGATTGGAGGGGTGCGAGCGGCGTTTCCTGCCTGTGTCTCCATTGCGACCTGAGGGGCGATTTGGGGAGGAGGGTTGGAGACGGTGAAGAAAGGTACCGTTCATGTCTGGGCGTCTGAATGGGGCTGCGTGATGTACAGTGGTTTACCTGGGAGGCGAGTGGGGTGGGTTCTGTTTTCATCACCCCAGCTTGGTAAGGCTGTACGTGGAAGCCAAACTTGGGTGTGAAACAAAGGGTCCTCTTAGAGCCAAACTTAGGTCCCAGAGTCCATGGTGAGGAAAGATGAAATCTTCCCAGACTAGATGGAGAATAGTGGAATTTATCCCCGTAGATTGTACAACCTAATTTGTATTTCCTGGAATGCATTTGGGAAGCGTCTTGAATGCCTCTCTAGCCAGCCAGTCTTCGTTCACATTTTTGTGTGAAAATCTCAGATCAAGTTAGAAAAGCAGCCTTTTCTGGGTTAGTGTGAGACACTATTTTAAGTCAGTAGTTTCTGCTGTTTCTCAGTGCATTTATTGAACAGGGCTGGGTGGTTTTTTAGAAGAGATGTTTGATTTATCTTTTCATTTTTTCCTTAATTTTAAAAGTGATAGGCAGTCACTGATGCACAATGTTACGAATTCTGTTTGTGCCGTTGTTTTGATCGCCTGTTAAGCGTTTAATGACATTCCCTTTTTATGAGGTTTTAAATGTGTATAAGTACTGCTGTTTTAGAGTTTTGACTTTTTGTCAGAGGAAAATTGATATAATTGAGTTTTACAGCTTAGGTTGAGGCCTGGAGAGATGGCTCAGCAGTTAAGAGCACTGACTGCTCTTGCAGAGGACCTGGGTTCAGTTTCCAGCACCCATATGGCAGCTAATAACCTTAAATAACTCCATTTCCTGGGGATCTGATACCCTCTTCTGGCCTCCACACGCATTGCATGCACAGGTGCGCTAAAATGCATGCAGGCAAAACACTCATACACGTTAAATAAAAATTCATTAAAACTTAGAGTACTAATTATGTTTTTTATTTTCTATATTTATGATGTTTTGACATTTGGGGGTTCTGCCCACCAAGGAGAAACTGACTTTCCAGGGTTAATGAACCATTCACCTATGAACCTGTCTTTCATATGACAACTAATCAATCATGAGTCCAAGTCCCAAACCACTTCCTTTAATGATCACATTCCAGCTAATACTGTCCTTAACCTAAATCAGAAGTCAGGTGCCAGAGTGGGAGGATGGAGGAGGAAAGAAATAAGGTAATCAATTACCAAAAAAAGTTGTTTATGTTGCAGCCTTGACTTAAATCCTACACACAGCATACCACCAAGGCCTGTTAAGTATAAATTTCCTGCACTTTCAACCTATAAACCAATCCAGAAGCAACAGTAACTTCTTAGGAGCTACCATTCTATCCCAAAGTCTCCCACCACCCCCTCACTTGTACATAATCCTGCCCCTCATATCCACAACCAATGGAGTTTCAGTGTAAACAACTTATACCTGCTTTCCTGTTTTTCCTGAGCAGCTATTGTAGTTTCCTAGCTGAGGCACTGGCTTTTCCTCACATACACACACACACACACACACACACACACACACACACACAAACCAACTTTTTATTTGTCAAATTAGCTGCTAAAGTAATTAAAAGTCACTTCAAGCTTTTAATCTAGACTATCGTATTTATATGAAAACAGACTATCTGGGCCTGCGTAGCCTTCTCTGCTTTCTGGCCTTTCCTCCTTACATCTAGCCCAGCACATTGTTCTGGACTTGAAGCTTTTGCATCTGTCATTGCTACTATTCCAGATGTTCTTTTCACAAATACTTCATGGCTCATACTGACAGTTTGTTCAAGTATGTGGTTTTTGAGAGGCATTCCAACAACTACTCTATAATAACCTTGAGTTTTTATAGCATTGCTATAGTTTGGATATTATTTGTCCCCTCTAATTTGTATGCCAGTATTAGAACATGGAGCCTTTAAGGGTGATTAGGTAATTAAAAGGGATTAATACCCCCAGGGAGAGAGAGCATTCTCACAAGACATTATAAAGCAAGGTGGTCCCTTCTGTTTTGTCTCCCATAAGCCTCCTGCTCTTCTGTCTGCTAAGACCCAGTACCAACCTCTGATCAGCATCTGCTCAGATGTAGTTTGCTTTTGTACTTCCTAGCCTTCAGAGTTGTAAGCCAAAATTAACCTTTATTCTTTATAAATCACTCAGTCTTAAATATTCTGTTGTAGTTACAGAGGACAGGCTAAGACAGTACCTAATTGATTATATATCTATTTGTTTATTATTGATCTTACCCTCTAAAAGGTAAGTTTCATAATGGAGGAATTTTGTCTTGGCTGTTATAGCCCGAGGATCTGGCACATAAATGCTTGGTAAGTATTTGTAGAATAGTGAAAATGAAAATGGTGAATATTCTCACATAAGTTATTCATTCAACCTTCAGTGATTCATACCCCAATACATGTTTAATTTCTGCTATCTGCCAGATATTACATGTGTCCATGTTCCAGGGGATTGGGTGCCCTCTTCTGATCTCCGTGGGCATTGCACAACGTGGGTGCACTTACATACATGCAGGCAATACACTCCTACACATAAAATAAAAATAAGCCGGGTATGGTGGCACATGCCTTTAATCCCAGCCCTTGGGAGGCAGAGGCAGGTAGATTTCTGTGAGTTCAAGACCAGCTTGGTCTATATAGTGAATTCCAGGCCAGCTGGGGTTACAGGGAGACCCTGTCTCAATAATAATAATAAGAAGAATAAATATTTTTCAAATAATAAAATAAAAATAAATAATTTAAAAAGACTTCTTTTTCCTTGTTGTTCCTCTAATTGTTCTGCCATTATTGAAAGTGGGTGCTACTGTTATTGAATCATCTATTTCTGAAACATGTTGCTTTATGAATTTTGGTGCTATTACTAGGTACATGTATGTTTATAATTGTTATATCTTCCTACTGTATTGACTTTTTCATTATAAACCATCCCTCTTTATCTGAAGTAACATATTTTTTTCTCTGAAGTTTATTTTGTCTCATATTTGTATAGCCACCTTTCCTCTGGTTTCTAATTGCATGACTCATCATTTTTCATCTTTTTATTCGTATCTTTGGATTTATGATCTCTCTCTTTAAAAACATGGAGCCTGACAACCTTGTCTCATGAGTGAATTGTTTAATCACTCACAGTTGTTATTATTGAGATAGTGGTAGTCACATGTATCACCACATTCTAGTTTTGGTTATTTGTGTGCCTCAAGTTTATTTGTCCTTTTGTTCCTAGTTTATTCTGTACTGCTTTCTTTTGAATTTGACCTCTGAGTATTTCCTAGTGTTTTATGATGAGTGCTCTAGTCTATCGTGTACATCTTAATTTATCAGAATCAGTTTCAGATTTGAATTAGTGTGATAGTAGCAATATAAAGAATTGTTCCTGATTCTCTCTCATATGTGTTGCCTGTGTACCTAATGAGCATATGTAAATTTTAATTTTGAATATCAAATCATATGATATACTAATTTTCTCAACTAGAGTTTTTAATGTCTTATCCTAGACCTAACCAAATCATAGTCCTGACTGGGCCTTTGTGTATTTTGAGCTTTCCCCCATGTGTTTCTGATACACAATCTTGGTTGAGAAATCTGTATCAGAGAAACTCCTAAACATTAATCCTAAGGGGCATGTATTTTTGTTTGTAAAGCATTATAGCCAATCTTGCCCTTTTTAGATCTGTATTTTTCTTTGCTTCTTCAAAGTAGGCATTATCCATAACTTTGACCAACAAAAAACTATTATACTTGTGTGGTTCTATAGCATCTAGATTAATTTTTTTGCCTTTCAGGTGAAAATGAGTTCTTCAGTGAGAAGAAAAGGCAAACCAGGCAAAGGAGGTGGGAAAGGATCTTCTAGAGGAGGAAGAGGAGGCAGAAGTCACTCTAATAAACCCCATGGAGGTGGAGGTGGCAGTGGTGGTGGTGGTGGCAGTGGTGGCAGCAATCGAAAGGCGTCAAGTAGAATTTGGGATGATGGAGATGACTTTTGTGTCTTCACTGAATCAAGGCGCTCATCCAGGTCATTATATTGATTTTGTTAATTATTGTGAATATGTGTGTATGTGCATGCCACAGTGTACATATGGAGGTCAGAGGAGTCATTTCTTTCCCTCTACCATGTTGGTCCCAGGGATTGAACTCAGGTCATCAGACTTGGCAGCAGGCACCTTTACCCATTGAGCCATCTTCCTAGCCTACCATTATATTTCTAGAATGTTCCGATATGGAAATAGTTTCAATCCCTAATATGTGGGGCAGCAAATGGCCAAGAAGTTGCAGGGGGAGGAAGGCTAAGTAATTCTGGTTCAATTAGTTGTTTTTATCTACTACAATCTTTTTTTTTTTTTAATATATAGGTTGAATTCCTAACTTAACTACCATTCAGATTTGAATTAGTGTGATAGTAGCAATATAAAGAATTGTTCCTGGACAGGTTCACTGTCCTGGATATAATATGACTGTTGAGTTCAAGTGTTTCTAGGAAAGTAAATACTAGAAAAGATAAACATGATTAAAAAGTTGAAAAGTATAGGCACAATAGCTAGCATAGGTTAATGTTAAAATGAACAGGCCAATACAACTGGACTCTTTCTAGTTAATGAGTCACATATTGTCCAGCTATATCAGCTATCACCTGATAGTATTCCATGTGGTGATTGGAACAGGTGTTCTAGTTATTTTTTTGTCTTTGTGTTGTTGTTGTTTATGTTTTTGTTTTTTTGAGACAATATAGGCCACACTGTGCTCAAACTCACAGAGATTTACCTGCTTCTTCTTGAGTGCTGGGATTAAAAGAGTTTGTCATTATGCCTTACTTCATATCCAACTTTTTTTTTTCTTTTTTTGTTTTTTTGAGACAGGGTCTCCCTATAGCCTCAGGTGGTCTGGAACTCACTATGTGGACCAGACTGGCCTTGATCTCACAGAGACCCACCTGCTTCTACCTCCTGAGTACTGGGATTAAAGGCATGCACTACCACACATGGCTATATCAACTTTTAATTAATGTGTAGACAGTGGGAATTCTAGTAAGTCTAAAGAGTGCCTAAAAGTAAATGCAACTAGTACGGGTTATGCCATTGTAAATATAAAATCCTCCTAGTCTCTCAGATTGCACTGATTTGTGCATGTGATTCTTAGAGATGGACAGATTTCATTAGAGCCATGTATAAACACACATATTTATAGGAATAACATCTAAATATTAGTTAGAAACAAATATAAGTGAATGCTATGTTTAACTGCATCTTAAAACATGCATATTTTGGGAGCTGGAGACATGGCTCAGCAGTTAAGAGCATTGGCTGTTCTTGCAGAGGACCTAAGTTCAGTTCCCAGCACCCACATGGTAGGTAGCATCTGTCCATAACTCCAGTTCTAAGGGATTCTAACACTTTATTCTGACCTCTGAGGGCATTGCATGATACAGGTGCACTTACATATATGTAGGCAATATACTCGTACATATAAAGTAAAAATAATAAATAAATTTTCTACCGGGCATGGTGGCATGTGCCTTTAATCCAAGCCCTTGGGAGACAGAGGCAGGTGGATCTTTGTAAGACTGAGGTCACTCTGGTTCACATTGGACTTCCAGGTAGGCTGTGACTAAGGGAGGCCCTGTCAAAAAAATAATCAACAGAAAAAAAAAAGAAAGAAATTAAAATAAATTTTTTTAAACATGCATACTTTTAAAAAATATTTTATTATTTTTATTTTATGTGTATGCGTGTATTGCCTGCATGTAGGTAAGTGCACCCATGTCGTGTAATGCCTGTGGAGGACAGAAGAGGCTGTCAGATCCCCTGGAACTGGAGTTACGGACAGTTGTTAGCTGCCATGTGGGTGCTGGGATTTGAACTCAGGTCTTCTGCAAGAACAGTCAGTGTTCTTAACCGCTGAGCCATCTCTCCAGCCCCAAACATGCATACTTTTAACTGAATTCAACCGTATGCACTCAGAGAAGAAAGAAACAGATAGTATTTAAGTAGCATAAACTAGATATTAAATGAATTGCTGCACCAAGTTAGTGATTGTAGGATCTAAATATATATTCATCATACATGACTGCTAAAGTAACTGAATCATCAGGTATTCAACCAGAGAATCTACATGCTTTTCCATTCTCAAATAAAAAGATTTTTGAGATAAAAGGGTAATAAATATGTAAGATATCAGGTAGTAAGTAAGGATGAAGTGGAGATAAAATACCAGAATAAAGTTACTATCGTATGTGGAAGTCCTTTCTAAAATGGTAGCATTTGAACAGGACAAGAAGAAAATATGAGTAAGCCGTGAACCCATCTAAGAGAAAACTGTCTGCCATTAAGGCAGACAGGATAAAGCAAGTGCACAGTTCCTAAGTCAGGACCTTGACAAGGCTTAGGAAACAGCAAAGAAGCCATGTGGCAGGAGTGAGTGGGCAAGGTCATGTAGAGCAGAGACGCTAGACCCTAGATGACCTTGTGGACCATTATAAGGACTTTGGCTTTTGCTTTTAATAAAGTGGGAAAGCGCTGGAAGGTTTGAAGTGAGAATGCATGACATTTTCAGTCACTCTAGCTGCAGTTGCTACTCTTCAGTATAACTAAGAAAATGGTGCCTCTTCCTTTGGGCACTTATAGCCCCCTGCCAGGATAAAGGGAGATAAGTGAGAGGACAACTCAGTCGAGGAGCTGAATGAGATCAGGGTGTAGTGTCCAAGTGGAAGTGTGGACTTTTAAGTCGCACATGGCGGCTCACACCTGTTACCCAGCACTTGAGAGGCTGAGGCAGACCAGAGAATCAGGAGTTCAAGTGATCTTTGGCTACATAGTGAGTTGATCCCAACCTATGGTACATGAAACCTTGTCTTTAAAAAAAAAAAAAAGAAAAAAATTTCAAGGATGGTTCATCCTTAGAGATAAGAAGGAAGGCAAAGTAGAGAGATACGTAAAAAGGGATGGGTGAGATAGGAGCCTGTGACCCCTCCCAAACTAATCACAAGAAAATGACCAGATAAATTCCAATTGTGAGAATTTGTATGAAGAAGCTAGCCTGAAGTCTTCAAAAATATCAATATAAGGGCCGGAGAGATGACACAGTGCCTAAGAGCACTTCCTGCTGGTCCAGAGGACCCAAGTTTGGTTCCTAGCACCTGCACCTCCAACTCTAGGGAATTCACTGCTGCTGGCCTTTGTAGGCACTTGCACTCACATGCACATATCCACACAGAGACACACATAAACATAATTTCAAATAATAAAAAAAATGTTAGAATAGTCTGGAAACTTCTCAACATTGAAGGAGTTTGGAAAAAATCCTAACTAGGGGCTAGAGATATCCAGTAAATATTGTAGAAACGGATTCTCTCTTTTTATTTAGTGTCATCTGCTATCAGTTTGTGAATTTTTAGAAACTCTGAGGCGATTATAAAAGTTTTGATCATGAACATAAAATCTTCTTTTTCTTTTTTTTAGTCTTTTTGAGACAGGGTCTCCCTGGAACCCCAGCTGGCCTGGAACTTGCTATATAGACCAGGCTGGCCTTGAACTCACAGAGATCTGCTCACCTCTGCCTTCCAAGCTCTGAGGCCAACAGCATGTGCCACCATGCCCAGCACGAACATATAATTTTAATCTTCTGTATTTTGCAGGCCCAGCAGCAGCAATGCAAGCAAAGGAGAGGTGCGCCCTAAATGGAAGCCCAAGGCCAAAGTGCCCCTTCAGACTCTGCATATGACCTCGGAGAATCAAGAGAAAGTCAAAGCTCTTCTGAGAGACCTACAAGAGCAAGATGCAGATGCTGGATCTGAGTAAAGTATTTTATTTGGGTATATTTTTATACTAAGGAATACATATTGACAGTGTGAAGGCCCTGTGCATCTTTGGATTACTGTATCAATTCAGATCCAGTTGTAGCTGTATAATTAGTGAAAGTGAGCCAAGAGAAATATGAGAATAATCATTCAGCCACAGTTTTTGATTGGGCTTGTTTTACATCACCTCTGAGCAACAACATGGATTGCTTTATCTTTCTTTTTCTCCATGTCAGTGTTAATATGGGTAGAGGAAGTGCTTTAATAATAATATTCCAACTAAATCCTTGTATGAAGAAGTAGAAGTTTTGTTCTAGGAGCAGATATTAAGGCAGGAGCTTGTAAATGTAGCCCAGGCTAGCCTTAAATTCACTTTAATCTTCCTGCCTCAGCCATCCAAGTGCTGGGCTTGTTAACTTATGCAACCTGAAGTTATAAGATTATCTTTTTCATGACACCTGCCTAAATGAAACAGTTTATTCTTTTTTTTTTTTTTTTTTTTGGGTTTTTTTGAGACAGGGTCTTCCTGTAGCCCCAGTTGGCCTGGATTCACTATGGAGCCCCGGCGGGCCTCGAACTCACAGAGATCCACCTGCCTCTGCCTCCCGAGTGCTGGGACTAAAGGCATGCGCCACCACACCTGGCTCACAGTTTTTATTCTTAAATCTTGGTCTCTTCCCCTATATATCTCCATTGTATTTTAGCTCTTCTGTTTTACAACCTCATTTGAAGAGGTTAATTCTTTCTATTCGCTAGAATTAGTAAGTAGTTTGCATAGCATGTACAAAGCCCTAGGTTTCATCCTCAGTAATACAATCAGTCAGTCAGTCAGTCAGTCAATCCCCTCAGTAGAATTAATGAGTTACCAATCATGAATAGATCAATTTCTGTCCTCTACAAGTCTTTTATTTGTGTCATACCTAAGAAAGGGGATTATATAATAATGGAAAAAGAAAAAGTTAGGGACAATATTCATGAATAAGAAGAGAGTAGGTGGTCCAAGTTTCTCTAAGTAAGAGCATAAGCTCAGATTATCTGGGGTAAAATCTCTAGTTCTTAGGGCTGGTGAGATGGCTCAGTACTTAAGAGCACTGACTGCTCTTGCAGAGGACCTGCACCCACATGGGAGCTAAAAACTGTCTATAACTCCAGTTCCAGGAGATCTGAAGCCCTCTTCTGACCTCCTCAGGCATTGCATGACACAGGTGCACCTACCTACATGCAGGGAATACATTCATACATATAAAATAAAATAATAAAAATAGTAAATAAAGTATTTTTTAAAATCTCTGATTCCCCTTACTATGTAACCTTAGTAGTATCTGGAAGGGTAATTGGGAAGATAAAAAGAATTAGTCCAAAATTATACATACCAGTTCAAGAAATATATGTCTAGGTAAGGTTTATTTGAGAACAATTGGTCTTTGCCCAAGATTTATCTACATGACACACAGTAATTCAAAGTACCAGACTGGTGGAACTACCTTCTTGGATGTTTAACAGACATACTTTGAGGCCTATACTAATTTTGTCAGAGGGACACACAGGACAGTTT